TGGTTTGGTTATTTAATTCTCAGCTTGTAAGTAATCTTTTAACATGGTTTTAATTACATTACATAAATCAATCCATATTCCTCCAAAATAATTGTACATATAGTCCAATAAATAACAATTAGGATGAAGGTGAAGCACAGTTATCTGAAAACCACGGAAAGAAGAAAATTTTTCATAGAGGAAGACTGAAAATTCCCAGATTTGTAAGTAATTGCATATTGGAAGAGTTTTGTTGCCCCAAGGCTTGTTCTCAGAGGAGGTACCTTGCCAGCATAATGTTGAATTCGGAAGCAGCTGTGTGGCAGTGACGTGTCATTTAGGAAACGTGACGATTTGCTCATCCTGCTCTCAAAGTGCTGATGAGTGGCACAGATTTGATTTAGCTTCTCCAAGAAAGTATCATCGGTAACAGTTCCAGGACGGAGGCATTCTTCATCTAGCATGGCTAGAATTCCATTCTGATTCTACAGATTAAATAAAATAAACATGTTCTCATAGCATAATTTACAACCGCATGAAAGTGCATGAAAAGCATGTCCAGGTCTAACCCTTGCACTGCTGCTGGAAATGTCTACACTCAACAAGAGATGAGACAAATTTCATACATTTAATGTGTTTACATGATATGATCAATGATTGTAAATGTGTATAGACACTGATGTGTAGGCTTCTGCGTGCAGCATTATAAAAACAAAACTTAAAAATTTAACGAACCCGATAACACTAGAAAAGAGAATTTGTTTTTCTTTTTTCATTTCTCAACTTATTATGACATGTTTACAAATGAACATACATGCCTACATGCAAATATACATATTCATATGAATGAATGGCATAAATATGTGACTTCAGGCATTTACACATAAGAATTATCTATACATGTGAAAAACAGACACAAAACGGCAAATACATATTTTTACTGCATACTTACATTTTCTATGAGATCACAAATTATAGCATTATTGAAGTATTCAATATGAGTCCACTCAATGCCCTGAGGGGAAAAAAAAAAGTGAAAACAATCAGTTAAGTTGTGGAAAACTAGCAGGAAATGAAATAGAGGTCAAATATCCCATTACATCTCTTGGGGCACAATTTTACGATGCATTCCCATTCATTAAACTGCCAGCTAAATGTCTGCACATGGATTCTGTCACCCTATCAGTTCTAGTGTGGTCTATTAACACTCTGTAAAGCAATGCTGCATGCACCCGATTTTACACTGAAGCAGTTAATGTCTAATGGACCCAGAATGCTGTATCCTTTCATCAACTGTTTGACCAAAGTGGATGCCCTTGAAATACTTCCAGACTTGGTCTCCATTCCATTCCCTGATCTGTGTCAAATTCCCATGCACTTCAATGGAACAGAGCCAGGGGTTTAGGCAAAGAGCATTAAGGTCACCAATACTTTGTGTATACTTACACAATGTCTTAAAAAAATTAAAAATACACTTTTCCTGCTCCAGGCTTATATTTAAATCTATTGCTTGGTGTTCAGAGATATGAAGCAATTTAGTTAAAAACACAGCTTCCTGTGTGACTTAAAGGGACACAATAGTCACCAGAACAACTGCAGCTTATTGTAGTTGTTTTGTTGAATATAGCCTGTTCCTGCAGGCTTTTTTTTTAATCAAAAAAATTTTTAATCAGAGAAAAGGCAGTGTTTACTTTACAGCCTAGGGACACCTGTAGTGGCTACTCATCAGATGACCACTGGAGGTGCTGTCTGTCAGTGCTGTGCAGCACTGCCATTCAGATGCATTAACTCAATGCATCTTGATGAGGAAATGCTGATTGGCGCAGCCCAGCTATTTACAGCTCATGCGCAATAGCATCCCAATGCTATGGGAAGCATTGGATTGGCTGAAATCAAATCTGATTATCTTAGTCAATAAGGTGAAATCGGGTGTAAGGCCAGACAAGAGGACCCCTATGGAACGCTGGAAAAAGATGAGCAATTCACCTTTTCTAACACAAGGTAAGGGGGGCCGACCACCTAAATGGTGGTTTTAGAGCTATGGTGTCAGGAATTCAAGTTTGTGTTCCTGACAATATAGTGCCGCTTTAACCAACGTATACATAGATTGTAGTTTTCAGACAGGTACAGAGCTTCCAATCCAACTCTGATTTTTCTCCATGTGATGTGGACTAACCAACCAATTATACTGGGATATAAATATAATAAAAACAAAATCATTTTTACAATGTAATATTGAAGTTGTGACTATTTGATAAGATATTAATCTTTCTTACTGTAACAATAAGAAATGTTGGGGTTTAGGAATGTTTGGAAAGTACCTTTAAAAAAATGGTTCTCTAACCATGCTCAGGGAAAACTAACCCTACGTAAGAAACCTTTTCCAACAAGAAAAATGAATTAACTTCTAAATGTCAGGTCTATCTGCCATCTATCGCTACATTCTCTGAGCGTCAGTGGAGTAATATGTAGGTTATATGTGGTGCAGCTGAACTGGGCCTCAACTCATACTGGGAGTTCAAATAAAGTTTTTGTATGGTGACCTTGTTGCATCAATTCTCTGCTCAATCAAGTACTTCACCAACAATAAAGTCTTCCATTTCTATTATCAAAGTGCTAATATATTGTACAGCACCACACAACCAGTAAATGAAGCCTCTATGCACTAGTGACAACATTTTAGCTATAGAGGAACAAGTGGGTGACACGGACCCTGCTTCAACAAGCTTTCACGTTAAAAGGAAGTGGGTTTTAATTTCAACTATCTTCGGTATGCTTAGAAAGGCAGTGAACCAAATAGTTCACTGTATACCAAAAAAAAAACAAAACACAAAAACACACAAATACTGCATATAATTCATAAAAATGCCATTCAATTTAAAAATAGGATACTGGTTAAAAAAAAAAAAAAAAAAAAAAAATTGTGAAAGGAGTTTGACTAGGACAAGCTGGAGGAAAGGTTGTCTATACTTTACCCATTTTATATTTACCAATTTTATATATAGGTCAATGAAGAATTTATGTGAGGTAATACAGGTTCCCCACCATTAGGGATCCAGCAACAACTGAATCACTACAGTTATACAGGAGAATCACAAGAGCCTCTCTCAATATGAAAGATACATATTTCAGGATGAAACTCAACCACGCATGCCTATGTTGTGGGTGGCTAGTAGGGTTTTGATTTTCTGTATATTTATAAGTTTAGAAAAAACAGCACATTTATAGAACTTCTAATACAAATCCGGTATGCAGTTTCTAGTATAAATGCAGTTGTAAACCATGGGCCACTCAGAACAAGATGCAAGCTACACAGAATGTATAGTCATTAAACCTTCATTCAACCAACAGTGGTCCCAATACCTGAGCTGTCAATGGGTGAGGTTAATTTTACAACAGAAAGAGGACTTGGCATCACCTCTGTCAGTTAAATATGAGCACTAATTCATCTCACCAAAGAGACTAGTTAAGGGACAACTGCTAACCAGATCAAGTATCATGCCTTAGATTAAAGTATATAGGGTATATAGTTGGCAATAAAATAGGTATATTTATGCAGATATAAAGGCCATGGAGCTGAAAAACTAATACTTAAAAAAAAAAAAAGTTTAATGTCGCTTGAACTTAGCATGTACTTTTAACATTTGTAAATCATAGCCAACTTTTGTAATTCTATGTTTATGAATTATGTCATGATCAGCCTTGGAATGTACCAAATTTAGGAGAATCAGCCACTGTGGTACAGAAACTGCTTTCTTTAGAAACATAAATAATATCTTATGTTCTAAAAATTTGCAGGAGTCCTGGACCAAGCACAAGTTTTATGGATGTTAAGTAAATTTCGAAACCCCTATTCCACTTATCTGCAAAAAGTATCAACTTCAAACAAGGGCTCAACAGAGATCATTCCAAATAGTAGATTAATCTATTTCCCTTCATCTCAAGAACAAAATGGAAATAAACCAGATATTTTAGGTGCATAAGTCAGAGTTTCCAAAATAATCAGGATTTCACTCCAGATCTATTTCATCACTATATTCAGTTCAACAATGGTTTCTAAAAACAAATCCTTGTTTACAAACCGATAGGTCCATGTCATATCATTGTGTCACACAAACGTGTACCCAACCATTAACCTTCTCCGGATGACAAAGGGGTATCTACAGCTACAGTCAGCCACACATTTTCCCTGTGTCATAAAGAGGCCTGCCACCTGTTAACCATCCCAGTAACAAACAGGAACTTCCCATTTACACCTACCCACAGTACAAACCTCCCCTCCCCCGTCACACCTTCATATTCACATACGGTCCTATTATTTAGCACAGGAGTCAGCAACCTATGTCACATGTGCCATGTATAGCATTCCAGGCTGCCAGAGCCAAATAGACTCGACTATCAGGAGTCCCAGTAGGACTTTGGATATATGCTAGTGCAACTTGAGTGATGATTAAAGGTAGTGAGGGACAATCCTCAATTTACTTATTGCAGCAAATCGAGGAAGTGATCTCAGATCACTTCCTCCCCGCACTTGTGAACGGACTTCCGCACTGGAGTAGAGCAACCTGTAGCAGTTATCACACCTCCTGCCCTTGACATGTACCTGATCAGCCCAGTCCCCAATAGCCACCCACATGGTTAGACAGTTGCAGAAGAAGCCCTGCCAACATACAAATAAAACAAATAGCCTATACACTAGCACACACACAGTCCCCCCAATCACAACACCACCACCGACAATTCACATACCTGCACACCACCCCACAAACAGCCTCTAACAAGCAATATCATAGGCAGCCCCACACATATACACACCATTAAACCTATATCTTACACACACAATTCCACAAGTGGTTCCCATAAACAGCCCACATTTATAGGTGTCATACACAATACCACAAACTACGCAAACATATACAAACATAACAGCCCACATATGCACAAAAACAACTCTACAAAGCAACTGTAGCACCAATAAATAACACAAGCAGAATACAGCAGTGTTCCCCAACCCAGTCCTCATGGACCACCAACAGTCCAGGTTTTCTCAGTATCTCCATTGGAAAAAAACAGGGAAGTACATAAATCCTGGACTGTTGGTGGTCCATGAGGACTGGAATTGGGAACACTGGAATACAGCAACATACACACTTCAATTTAAAAAATAGGAACGGCATGCCAAGGGACTTCAAGATTCTATTTTGACACTGTAATACGAAAAGGTTGTCTACCCCTGAGCTAGCATGTCGGGCTGCTCTGCCATGCAGTCACAGCCAGCAGCATTGGAACATATATAGACACATTCGCTTAGGGCCATGGTTCAAAAACATTTACCTTTAAATTTCTTATTGCAAAGAATTACAGTCAATGTAACCAGTCAGCTAACCATATGCAACTATATCCCAACCATGATGCCACTAATACACAATAGTCTGAACAATCCCCTGCTTTAAAAGGCACTTTAACATTTAATCCTGTAGGTCTAAGTGAATATTTTATAAAACTATTTAATGCAGTAAAAAAAAACAAAAAAAAAACGAATTTGGATGCAGATCCTAATATCCAGCATTCCAGTTATGAACACTCTTTGAAAGAAAACATGTATTTGGAGAACAAGTCAAATGCACTGTATGAATTTTAAATATTTAAGCCAATCCTTGGTAATTAACAGTCCTCTGTTTTTCCTCTAGGGGCTTCTACCATAAGGTCCCTTTTGCAATTTGGCTAGTTATACAAAACCTCCAGAGACACCAATGGGATCAGCTAATAACTAGAGAGCTGTCCCAGCTGCTAGAAAATTTCTCTTTAATGAATCTACCCTTTCCCTAATCATCTTGTCTTTAAATGATGAACGGGCAGCAGTTGGAATAACAATCTTTAGTTAAATCATGCACATGAGCACCTGCTTTACAATAGCTTATCTCTTCCATTCATTAGTAAATATGGTTGCTTCCTTATCTTGTAAAAAAAAAAAAAAAAAAAGAATAATAATTTGTTCATAACCATATCTACTTTAGCATTCTCTAAATAAACATGATCAGGTGATAAGCCATCATTTGATCATCAGTTCGTCTCATAGAAAAAGATCAAAACTAAGTAAACAATTGCAATTTGTGCATATATTATTTTATTTTGCAGAGCTGCATGTTTTTTGGAAATCCAATCGCCTTTAACAAATCCTGAAACATATTCCCATAAACATATTAAAACAAGCAATTAAGTTCTGTTTGCATTTCAGCTAAGCCTTCCTAGCACTAATTTTCTAAGTCTTAGAGCTATGAGAAAGAAAACATTATATCTGGGGTTCCACAAGAGGGTGCCATATCCAACTCATAGTACTAACTAAACACCATCTTGGCATGCTGAGAGGAGACATGAAGCAGTATCTGGTGGACCCAGGTAAGAAGTCAAAATGTTCTAAAATCGTTTGACTTCTTCTTAAAGGGGGCACCAGGAAACACCTGACACCATAACCATTGCAGTGCGCTGTAGAGGTCTAATAAAACACTGCTTTTAGTTAGATAACCCTTTCTAAGTTAGTCCACAGATCCCCACTTAAAATTAATTAATGCATAAAAAAATACACTAGAGCATACCTGTTCCATGACTCAAATATGTCATATATTCATGTTCAAGAGGGTGGTCAGGGAAGACTAGGGTGAGAGGAGCAGGGGAGGGGGGGGGGTGGATAGATGGAGTGCTGCCAGTTTTGCACAATAAAAAATTGCAATATTGCCAGGCTAAATGGTACCTTGATTACAAAGAAGAGAGACAGAAAATCTAAGAAAGGAGGAGGGAAAAGAGATAAAAAGAAAAGGGAAAAAAATGTGAGAAGGGGCACAGGTTTGTAGAATTCAACATTCACAGACAAGGTCAGGCAAGGTGGGAGTCCTCCGCTTTGTCAGTGCCATCAAAAAGATTCCAGGAACCAAAACCACTTTAAATCACTAAAGTGGCCATGGCATTTTGAGAAGTATTTCTTTAAAAAGCATTATTATCTCTGTATTAAAATGTATTTGACTATGTGGAAATAAAGCTCTCAATGATCCATATACAATCCCCTAATCCTGGTAGGGTAGTCAGACTACCATATACAAACAAGAATAAAATAAACAGGTCTGTTACTATGACACTTAAAGGTGGGATGAGTACAGATAATAAAGTACTTCCTACAGGTAGTTCTCCTGCTTTCCTCAGATTATTCTTCTGGTAAAAGAGGAATATGAGAACCGCATTACAGATTTTAATTCTGACGCAAAGTGTTGGCATGATAGGGGTTGTAAGCCTGCTTGAAAAGTATTCTCAAACAAGGTAATTGGGGTCATGCATCTGGCTTCTTCAATTGAGTCCCAGGAAGCGCTAAGTGCCGCCGTGCAGGGGTGCTGCTGATTGGCTAGAGCAGTCAGCTGACTGTCTAAGCCAAATAGCAATTCCCCATTCATTTAAATAAAAAATAAAACTACTGACTGGAAAGGGAGACTCATCACTGTTGGCAACCTATTGGGAGAAAACAGTGAGAACCGTTTAATCCCTTCAGGTAACAAAGTATCAGGTACCTCCTTGCATCATTAAAACTTCATTTTGATTAAGTGGTTTCTTTAATATAAGTGTCTTCGCTTTATAATAAAAGACAAAGTTGTCCATACAATTGCACGTACACTTTAAATAGTGGATCTTTTAGATCAGGCCTGCACAACCTGTGGCCCCTTAAATGTTTTGAACTACAACTCCCTTTATATCAGCCATGATTCCCTGGCTATTGGTTTCATTACAAAACAAACAAAAACAGACACACTGGTGTTGGCTGTTTCATTAAATGAATCATGGGTATTGGCTATTTGTTTTATTCAAAGAATCATGGTGGTTGTAGTTCAAAAACATCTAGGGGAGCACAGAATGTGCGTGTTTTAGATTATGTGAATAAAATAGTCATATTGACATGGAATAGGTCCCAAGCTTGCATCTGATGGTGCAAACAAGAATTCTTGTTTCTTCCATATCCATCTAAATTTGACTTAAGAGGTTCTTTGCAATAAGCAGAATTTAACAGCGAAGAAGATAAGGACTACTAAAGTAAACACATTCCGCAAGTATGATACGTTCTAAGTGAATGTTTTTGAATAAGGAAGCCTTCCTAGCCGTCAGTGGAGTGTTCCCAAACTAATTCATAAAATAGTTTTCTTTTGATATTGGCACTTTTTATATAGCCTTTGTCCCAGATCACACCTAAAGCACTTGAGGGAGACCAAGTTTAGAGTTAACTTCACTATATTTTTAAAGACAAGTTTTGAGTTCTTTTTTATTCTTTTAATGCTGTCCAGTCCATTCCAACCTGTTTGACTTTTTATTTTTTTTGCGGATTGTAAACATTACCTCTCGAATGTATTCTTCTTGTTCCTCCTTAAGAGTTAATTCAATAAAGATCTGTTGTAGCTTCTCATTACAGTAGTTGATGATGAACTGTTCAAAGCTGTTTTCCTGAAAATGTGAGAGACATTAATACCAGCACACATAATTACAAATGTATATTTTTTTCTATTGGTTAGTATTCACAGCATACCTCCAACTCCTTATAAGTCAAGGGGTATGTTTTGTATTATATTTTCTTATCCCTATATTTAATAAATGTTTTTAATTTTTATATAGTAAGCCACATTTTTTTTTATCCTGCAAGAGAATGCCTCCACTGCACACTGCCAATCATGCTTATAAACTCTCGTTTGCACCTGGCAATCAACATAGAAAACCATTCATACAAGATGAGAAATAAAACAATGTTTCTATTTCTCCTTCATTTGCAAATTTTGCCCTAGCTGTGCCTCAACTAAACTTGATTTAACATTATTTGCTAAATCTTAAACATAATTTCATAAAAAAACAGTATCTCAAAAAAAACAAAAAAAAAACAAAATGAAACCAAGCATTGTAGAAATCACTTGTTTTAAAGTCTAGCATCCATGCATAACATTATTTAAAATCTCAAATGAATAAAAACAGAATTTTGTAAAAGAATCAAATGTCATATATAAAGCTCAGTGGTTGTTTAGCAAACAAGTTATCACACTTAAAGATGCTCCTGAGTGACTTTTTATTGTCTCATAGCTAAATACACTTTACTCATAATATGTTTAATAAATTCATTAAATTGATGCATGAATTTGATACTGCAAGCGGATTTTTAGAGGTTTGCTTGAGAGGTGAACTGTTCTATTAAAAATATACCATTTACATTTCAGATGTTGGCTTACAAATACATCACTGGAAATAAATACAGCCACGAAACGATGGACTGCAAATACTCACACAATGGCAGGTATCTTAAGCAGTTGTACTTAATCTTAAGATGCACAACGCTATAACTCCATAACAGAACAGAACTTTACTATATGTTATAAGCCACTGCAAAACAAACCCATGTATAGCAACAGAGAAGCAGTCTGGAAAATGTCTGCTGCAAACAATTAATCAAAAGAAACAAAAAAATATAAAAATAGTGCACAAAGCGTGTTATATAAAAGGAAAAAAAAAAGCGGTCAAGCATCTCATCTGATCCCATCCCACACAATGCAACAAAGTTCACTCTGCATAGAATAATCTTCAGCAGCTTTAGGTTACATCAAAAGCATGCAAAGGAACTCACTGCATCACGTATGATACTTACGGAATTCTGGATTTAGTAAAATAAAACAAAAAACAAGAAACCGGAAAAAGTAGTCAGTCAGTCAAGAGGTAGCTTTCATTCATAAAACTAAAGCAGGATCTAGTCATTAGGTTAGACGTATAAAACATGTTTGTGAGAGATTACTGAAATCCTGAATAAACCTACTCTGTATGATTACGATTATAAATCATATAGACCTATTGCAAATACCTTCCATTTGCTTCTGAAGTACACAGGTCTACTTGATATTAATATTTAAAATTAATGAATTATGCGGACATACCCAGCTGCCTTTCTTCTTCATTTTACCTTTATACTGAATTGGTCCTTTAACTTCACGGTGATTAAACTTAAATTATGTACCACACATGATTCCAAATTAAAACAACCTATGTGTTGTGCTAACTTTACAAAAATATAACTAAAAATTATTTCCTTTTTATTGTCTGACTTC